AAGGAGCTTTCGTTGACTTTTTAGTCAAGAGCCACCTTCTGTTGGGTAAGTAGTGCAGGTTCCAGAATACCCTCAGAAAGACGGATTGCTAAACCTCTTCTGAAAACTCTGTAACTGGAAAACCCTGGAAATTTTCACCATACATTGGAGTTGACTTGATGGCATGTCATTATTATTTCTTATTATAAATTTTTCTGAGGTTAAAATGCTTCCTATTGGCATTTTAAGTCCCCCTCCCCCTTTAAAGAAGGTGATAAGGAACGAGTTGAAGAGTTGTTCTTCTGTCTGAAGGAAAGGAAAAGAACATGAAATGAACTCATGGACTTTCTTTTTATAGTTGCCATAGCTGTTCCCACCACCAAGTAGATAAAGCTGTGGTGTTAATGTAAACCCATCACTCGTGTGCTACCTTTCTAATTCTGGGCTGGTGGGGCTATAAATACCTTTTTTTAATTTCACGATCCAAGCGTTGCACAAGCCCTCCCTGCTGGGTGTACAAAGAAGCTGTTAGACGTTAAGCCATTGGAAATAGCGTGTGCTGATGTATTCCCTGTTCGATCAACCGTTCAGGTCCAAAATTCAGAGAACTCACCCTTTTTTTCTATGAAACAGAGAATGCTGCTGTGTAAGAGGAATTCAGAACTGGCATTCATGTGACAGGAAATTAGAGAGGATTCTTTTGGTCCCCACTTTTTGCGGTGAAGTAATGCCAGTGATGTGTGTTGGGAATCAATTTCCTATTTTTGTACAGCCCTCCGGCTGACTTTCTGTCACTGTGACTCTCCCACACAATAATAGACAGCCGAGTCATCAACTGTCACAGATCTCAGCTGGAGGTAGACCTCGTTTTTAGAAGCATCTGAAGAAATGGTGGCACGGCTTTGAAAGGAGGAGGCAAACCATTTCCTTCCACTGGAGGGGTACATAAGTGCAACCCATTGTAGACCTTTTCCTGGAGCCTGTCGGATCCAATGCCAATACTGAGTAGTGATGGAGAAACCTGTCAATTTGCAGACCAGGTCAAGAGTCTCTCCAGGTCTCACTGTTTCTGGACCAGATGATACAAGCTGGATATCGGAGGAGGCCCCTTGGAGAAAAAGAGAATGTTTCACGTAATGCAACACACCTCATAATAACTGCATTTAGCGATTTTACACTTCCAACATGAGTTTGTGTGCTTACATCTATGAGTAGACACCAAGGAGAGGAAAAAGAAGAGTAACTTCATTATATTAACGAAGAGATCACTTAGCAGAGGAGGAAGGATCAAATCTCTCTGGACTGGGAAGAAAGTGACATTTGAAATACGAGAGACAATTTATGAAGAGAAACTCTCCACAGCCCCAGAATCTCCTCCAGAATTTGCATGAGCTCTTTCTCTGATGATCTACGAATTATAAAAAGGCTCTGAGGTGAAAGGCGGGTTTCATATTTGTTTCTTGCCTCCTTCCTCCATGGGTGTGCCACATAGACGTATCTTATAATGAAGGATGTCTGGACTAAAACAAGATTTCTCATGTAATGTCAGTAAATATGTTAATGAATAAACACTGCATTTCAGTGTTTCTTTCTCTTTGGACATTTTCCACCCTTTTTTCCCTTTCATATTTGGTGAATGTGCCTTCATTGACATTTTTAGTTCTCTAAAGGTTCTAGGAAAGACAGAAGGCTTAGATTTTAAAAATAAATAAATGAATGAAGGGAAGACGGAAGAATATTCCTTATGCCATGTCAGTGAATATTTGACTGGCTTCATATTTGCTTTTAGCCTCCTTCCTCCCTGTGTCTGACGCAAAGACACACCATGCAATGAAGGATGCTGAGGCTGAGAAGACACACACAATATTTCCCATTTAATGTTAGCGAATTAACTCCAGCGCTAAGTTTCAGTGCTGATCTCTCTCTCTCCCTTTCTCTCTTTCTTACTCTGTCTGTCTCTCTGTCTCAGGAGATTTGTACAAGGATTGAGGGGAATATGCTAACCACACCCTGTTGACACTTTCCACACAGAAATGGTAGCCTGAAGAAGGGAGCGTTCCATCCAAAGTTAGGTCTCTTCATGCACAGAAAGACCACCTAAGTACAGCAGATTCTACCTCTTCAGGAATGTTTTTCTGATCAAAAAGATTATGGAAAACATGGAGCTGTTTTGATTCTCTCTCCTCTCCAGTGCCACTCTATGCATACTTAAAAACCTATCAGAATAGTGCAGGAAAGTAGATGAGAGTTTGGATCAGGTCCATTATGACTGTGGCCACCATCTTTGGACTCTACTCTAAGGAGACTTCAGCATTGCAATCATCTGGCAATTTTCTTATCATCTGATGCATTTCTTCATTCCCAGATTCAGATTGGTGACGTCTCTGCGTTCTTCCTGAATGTTTTAATGACGTCCTCAGTCTGAAAGAGTGTCCAAAATGCACCTCGATAGAAAAAATGATTTTGAAACAGTGTCCTTCCCAATGTACACAGACATTTTTAGAAGCTAAGCAATTTAGATATACAAAGGTGTTCAATGGAAGCTTTATTAAATATTTTTGAAAACATCCAATTACATAGAATGAGGGGGAAGAGAATTAACTATTACTACGGAAACAGTTGCAAGACTGAGATTTGCAAGGATTAGGAAAAACATCAGTTAGCGTAATATGGAGGATTGATGCAAAGAAATGTGGAATACGGCTATCAATGATACATTAACATGTGGATTGAAAGTTAGAAAAGGAATATCGAAACACATTATTTGAAGGCGATATGGGGTTTTTTTAGTATATGTAGTTGGTAAAGGTAAAGGTAACATCTTAGGACAAGAATCATTGTATTTTTGGAGAGACACAGAACATGGCCTTTGCTGCCAGATGGGCGGTATAGAAATCAAGTAAATAAATAAA